ACAAGTATGTATTCTTGCTCTTCAATCAACTAACTTGGCAATAACTTTGATTGCAAGTCAATCTGGATAGTTTATCTGCATTTAATTAGCATTGGCTGGTATATAAATTGTGTGCCCAGTCCAATATTTGCAGAGATCATATCGGAAAAAATCACAAACAAGGCATTTATGCCTGGACAAATCTTTCGAGTCTATACTGGCATCTTTAGCTCCTCCTGTAGTAGGGATTTTCGCTCAACATGTTTATGGTTATAAACTGATTCCGAAATGATCATCGAACTCGATAGAGATTGAGACAGACCGGAATAATGCTGCATCACTTGCTAAGGACTTTACATGGCAATCGGGATTCCAATGGTTCTCTGTTGCTCAATTTACTCGTTCCTCTATTGCACGTATCCGAGAGACTGGCAAAGAGCAAGAATGCAGGCATTGATTGAAGCAAAAATGCAAGAACTAGAGAAAGATAATACTCCATCGAACAGCAAAGAATCCGAAATTCGTGTTACCGACGCAGAGTATATGAATAACAACGGAAGGGGTGAACTTTGTAGCATTGATTTTGATAATAATGAAGAGAAATCTCTTCTGAATCACCAGATTTAGTTCTCAAGGACAGTGGTAAACATGTTATGCTGAAGCTTGGGGCAATCCTCATGGTACCCATCCGAAACTAAATTGTTATAAAGGCTACTACATTGACAAACTTCGGTTAAAAGATCTTCAAAATTTTATGTCAACATAATGTTTATTTTTCATTGATTCAGGCACTTTAATTGTCGGTTAAAATTTTATGATGAAATATAAGTGAACAAGATACTCGAAAAGCATCGATCCAAGTTCGAATTCCTCCAACCAACTCTAAGCTGCAATCATCTCATGGCAACTCCTTTCAAACTCCGACACCAGATTCTGCCATTGCTCTTTCGATCGAAATCTCTTCCACCTTGCCGTTTTCATGTTCGAGAAAGATATCCCCTATTAGTGTGTTGTAGTTCGTACTCCGGTCCACCCTTTTGCTAACGATCTGCCGTGTTCCCATCGCGATAACATGGCTAAAGAACGTGTTACACATAATTGTTTTTTCATCACTAGGGAAGGACATTATAAATGAAGCAAGGTCAGTTATAAGGATCCTAGCTTTCCAAAACATTGTTGCTCAAGTTATTTCAGGGTCGTTTCTGTAGTCTGCTCTATTATTTGCTTCGATGTGGCTTGAACTAATTGGCTTCTCCCTCGGAACAACAACGTTGCAAAGATCATAAGCCAAGAAAACCTGAACAATCATATCTGCATCGGATCTGTCTTTGAGTCTACACCGACATCTTCCTCTCATCTCGTGGCAAGGATTTTGGCTCACACGTTTATGGTTATAGACCAACACCTAAAAGATCATCGGACTCGATAGAGATCGAGTCGGATTGGAAGAGTAATGCACCACTTGATACGGCACTTACTCATTCTTCTGTTTCATGTATCCCAGAAACCAGTCACAGCAAGAATGCAGGTAGCGGTTGAACCGGAATTGCAACAACTAGAGGAAGATAATACTTCATCGATGCCGAACAATCCAAATTTGGTGTCATGGACTAAGTTAAAAAAGATGCTAAGTTGAGGGACTAATGTGGATAAAGTTCCGGGATCAAATTGGAAAAATGTTGTTTATCCAATCAAAGCATTCCAGCTGGACATATATATGTTGTTTTCATTGTGATCTGTGTATCTATCTACCGTTTATTACTAGTTTCAAAAACTTTTTCTCGTCATTTTCAAACAAAAGAGAAAATATCTCCAAAGGCAAAGACTGAAAATTTTGAATTTTTTTAGCTCAGAGAACATCAAAGCAGAGAAAAAAAAATGGAGAGAAGCACGCCGGTGCGAAAGCCACACACCTCAACAGCCGATCTGCTGACGTGGACGGAGGGTGCAGAAGCTGCTTCCTCCAACTCCGGCCAGCGTTCCTCTGGCCGTTACAATCAGGTTGTCTGTTTGGATTATATTTATCTTGTGTTTTCTTCATATATATGATTACGCATGCTGCATGTTTGGTTTCTATACACATTTGTATTTCTATATTTGACGAGCATTGAATAACAGCCTTCTGATAGAGTCAGTAAAGTGCTGTTTGGAGGTCAGGTTACCGATGACGAAGCTCAATCTCTCTTGAACAAGTAAGAATCCTCTCTATTTTCAGCTTAGCTCTACTTTTTTAGAAAATAAAATTTTATTTTCAGCTTGAATCTGCAGCTGTAAACGTTTATTTTTTTTAATATGAGATTGTGCTTTCTTTTTCTTTCTTTTATTCATTATTTTAAAAGTTTGAAATCTGAGTCTGATTTCCAAATAAAATATAAAATCTTGTATTTCGTCCTTTTCTCTTTTGGATTTAACCAGATCTATCTATTGTTGAATCTTCTTTGGGTTTGTTTTGATTTGTATCACGATATCAATCTCTGATCTGTTTTCTCAGCTGCTTAAATCACCTAAATTATTTTAAATTTATGCATTTGGAATATTTACTTTGAGTGGTTTCAGTCTTATTCTAGCTCAATATCCTACTTTTTTTTAATTAATATTACTCATTGGATTGTAGATTAACTATAGATTATTTATGCACATGGTCCCCTAAATTGGACTTTGAATTTCATGATTTTGCTTTACCCTGTTGTGTGAATCAAATCCGTTTTTCTCATTCATACTCTGGCATGGAGTTGTAATGTAATAGTAGTATAGTACACTCATCAAGGGCCAGTTTAGATGAGTGGCTATCGTTCATCCGAATCCGTCTGGAAATGTTCACTATTGGTCTTTCAGGAAGCCTTGCTCGGGTTACAAAATGAAAGAGATGACTGGTAGTGGAATTTTTGCTGCCAATGGTGCATCTGAAACTGCCGCCACTAATTCCGCTAACAAAACTGGAGTGCGCATGCATCAGGTATCTGTTTGATCTCCCTCGGGGAATGACCGTGATTGTTAACCGGTTGTCTACGAAAATTTACAGTTATAAACTCCGGTGTTATTTTCAGCGAGCAACGAATAGCCAAATATCATTCAGTGTCGATGCAAGTGTTTCTCCCAAGAAGCCTACCTCTCTACCTGAGGTAGCAAAGCAGCGTGAGTTAAGTGGCTCGTTGCAAAGCGAATCGGATGCAAAGAATAAAAGATATCGAATACAAAGTATAAGGAGATCAGTGGACATGACCTCTTTTCCTCTCCTCCTGAAATCAAGCCACGTTCGTTGGCTGCCGCCGCCGCTGAATCAAGAGAAAGCAAAGACATGGTAGAACCCGTGCCACGAAGTATCCACACATCTGTCAAAGTTTCAAATGTGAGTTCTATCTTTTAGGTGTCTGTCAAAATTTAGGTATAAAAGTTACTCTTCATTGTTCTTGAAGTGTACATGTGTCCTATACCCGTGTGATCCTCCATATACATGAAAAATGTTACTAAAAATTGAGCAAACCCATGTTAAACACATACTTGCATCCAACTCTCATCCCCAAGTATCCTGAATTTGAAGTTTCATCAATTATATAACTGCTATTTCGCAATTGTTATAGCCTGCAGGAGGGCAGACAAGTATCGTATTCACAGATGAACCCGTTGTGAAGGCAACAAAAAAGATACATAACCAATGTTTCAAGAGCTGACTGGTACTGGTATCTTCAAGGGAGACGTTCCTCCAGGTTCTGCAGAAAAACCACTGAGCCAAGCTAAACTGCGAGAAATGAGTGGCAATGACATCTTTTCTGATGGGAAGGCAGAATCTCGGAGTTTTTATGGTGGCTCACGAAAGCCCCCCGGTGGTGAGAGCAGCATTTCCTTGGTTTAACTTGAAGTGCCCTCAATGCTGTTGGACAATGAGTTTGGTCATTCGAGTGGCCGATGTTGTTTGTGGCTTGGCTTATGCAATGCGTTGTTAGAGTGTAACATTTAGATTCGAACCCTAGTCAGTTGGGGTATGCTAATCCAGTTATTTCAACTATTTCCATTGTGTTTCTTAGTGTTTGCTCTGATCTCCGGACCAACTTTGTCTGTTGCTGTTGAATAATAAAGGCTCTTGGTAGTTAGGTCTTGTACTTTTAAAATCTTTAACTGTGTTACGAAATCGAAATGATGATATGACATGTTAATATCGGCATGTGAACTATGTAATGTTGACTCGTAAATGTGTACTGACTAAATTATTAATATTTATAACATTGGCACTCAATAGGACCAATTGCACGTCCATCCACAAGCAGGAGGCAGGACCTGGAAGGGCACTACAGCCACTGAACTTTGAACCCCATTTCCAAGGGAAAAAGGGTAAAGCTTACGCCAAAGGCACTTCATGCATGTGCTGTTGAGTGTCGACCATTCATGTTCCCAAGTGTTTTGTTATCCTAGAACAGCATTAGGGCTTTAAACCAGCCGTGTCGAGCTCGAGTATTGATACGCTCGAAAACTCGTGAACTTGAAATTTTCAAGTTTGACTATAACTCGAAATCATGAATTGAAACTCGTAAAAGCTTGAAATGAAAGAAAAATCTTAAACCAACTCAATTGAAACTTAAATACATGAAATTCTTATACTGCATTTTTTTTAAAATCAACACATAAATATTAATATTAATAATAATTTATTTTTTAAAAAATAAAATCTTAATATATTATATTTTTGAGTTGCTCGCGAGCTTTTCGAGTCAAATATCAAGTAGCTCATTTCGACTCGTTAAGAACTCGAGTCGAGTATTTATTGAGTTTTGATTGAGTCGATCTCGAGCAGTTACGACATGTCTTGTCTCATTTATACCCTACCTAAAATAGTATGTGTTAAATATGAGTATATTTAATTATTTTTTATATATTTAAAGTGTGTTAATTAATTAATAACAATTTTAGAATAAGGTTATAGAATTTGAGAACGTTCGATGCAATTAACTCAATTTTTAATCTCCAAAATATAGCCGATCAATCGGGTTATAGTTGAGTGAAAATTATTTACCAGTTACTGCAGTACCAATGGCGTTTCAAACCATCGCCAAGAGAGCATTAAGTCATAGCTGAAAAGGAAATGTAGGCTATTCAATAGTCATACGAAGGAACCGGAAATCGGAAACAGATCAGACATCTCCGGCTCCGATCAGGGCAAGAAGCATTTTCTCATAGTCCCCAGAAGTATCTCCAGCAATTGCTTTCTCGAGAGGAACGGTGTTTCTACTCTGATATGCTTCCTTGATACGTACCATGTCTACCTCTGTCCGAGTTGCCGCAACTCGGGTAACTGCCCATTCATCGGTTCCCGACTTACCAAGTGCTTGACGTAAAACCTTCTCGAAATATTTCTCGGAAGTCGTCAAGCACTTGATAGCAGATCTCAGTAATTTGAGGAATTGATCACTGGGATCAGCCTTCAGATCCTGCAAATCATCATCAGTTTGAATCAGAACATACTCGGAAATACGATAAATCGGACCGCCCTGTCTCGTTTACTATCATGGTTATATACAACTACCTTGTTGATAGGACTGCCGAACGAATTATTGTAACGACTGAGAGTTGCATTTAGCTGCGCCTTACTCCTTGTAGTTAGAATCCTGATCAATTCCTCATCACTGTATTTCTTGTCCGAGATTTTTTCATGAAGTATCTTAGCCTCGGATTTCGCCAGCGACATGTCCGACTCCTCTCCCTCGTATCGGAATGTGCTAACAAGCGGGACCAAAAGCTGCATTGAGCAAGTAATGTGAGCAAATACTTGATAAATCTTATGCAAAGCATTCAAGATGATGATAATAAGAGCAGGGGAGATGAAATTCGAGTTGGAACCTTGCGGTAGTCTCCGGATGTGTGGTGTGCGACGTCCTCTTCGAAGGATTTCTTATAACAGGCATGATACGCCTTTTTCACATCGAGTAGTGCATTTGAAGACCTGGCGCAAGCTATTTCCACGAGAACAAAATGGCCCGACGAGTTCTTTGTAGCTTCTTTAGCCAGATATGCATCTCGCTCTGCAGGGTCCATGGTAAACAGAAGCACGATCCGCTGTCGAATGGCGAAACAAAGCAAAAATCCCGACAAGTTAAGGAAAACATTCGGAATTACAACAAAATAAACTTGATGCCACTGCCAAACATCAAAACGTATGTCGAAATCTGACCTCAAAGTCACGAGTAAGTTCCTTCTCCAAAAGAATTCTCAAAATGAGAAATTCTGCATTCCCTCTTTTTTCTTCTGGGTTTCATCAGGTGAAGGAAATTTGGGGAAAATCAGATTGCAAGGTCAAAAAGTGTACTGGCACCGTTTAGTATGGTACCCTATGCACCTTCCAAAGCATAATTTGATTTCTTGGATGGCCATCTTAAACAGGTTACCAACTTGTGATCGCTTGCAACGCATGGGATTAGTCACTACTAGTCTGTGCGTCAACTGCAGGGTTTTCAACGAAAGTAGGGATCACTTGTTCTCTCAATGCCCCTTGGCTATTGAACTCTGGAAATCTGTTATTCTTTTGAATGGTATGAACTACACTGCAATGACTTTGGAAGAAATGGTCTCTCACGCAAGCTCTATGTGAAAAGGGAAGTCTTTAATTACCACTATTCTGAAAATTTCTTGGAATGCTTATATCTACCTTTTGTGGCAAGAAGGTAACCGCAGACTGTTTCAAGGAAGATCTCGAACAGTTGACAACTTGCTTAAGGAAATCATTGAAATAGTTAGTACAAGACTTAGAGAAAAAACTATAAATAGACTTGATTGCACTAACTTCCATCTTTGTAATGCTTGGAGTATAGTTTAACCATGTTCCTTTGTTTGTTTGTAATACTCCTTGTTTTGATTGGTGATTGGTTGTAAATGTACTTTGTTCTTGGATAATAAAATTATGATTTATCCAACAAAAAAAAAGTTCCTTCTCCAAGCACTTGAGGAGATCTTCCCCATAAGCTTCATGGTAAGCTTTCCTAATCGAATTGCGCTGTGCTGCATTCCTGTGAGCCAATATGTCGATGATCAACTGCTCGTTCGTACCCCAACCTGCAAAAGGATATGAAAAACAGTTCATCGTTATGGCCTATTCTTTCAACATACAAATGGCAGATAAAATCTAATGCCATTTTTCAAATACGGATTGAGAGAAGACAAATCAGATCCGGAATCCATGATAACTCAAATCAAAGGAACCATTGTACGAATGCTTTTCAAAGATCACGGCGAACACGATGACAGAATACGAAACCACCGAATAGCAAAGAAGATCGATCAAAATACGTAAAAATCCATGATCCAATACAATGTTATGTGATCAAACATCAACGCAAACAAAAAAATGAACAAAAACTGAAAGATCGATGAACGATTCCAATTAGAACGTGTAGAAAGTGATGAAAAAGGCCTGAAAAGGCTTTTTGAAGTTGCTCGGCATCCTCAGAAGGAGAAGGAACATGAGATGGAACTTTAAGGGTTGCCATTGAAACTCTCTTTGTGTGTTTGTTTGCAGTTAAGCCTTTTCTTTTATAGTACATTGAACGCAATTAAATTTCCTTCCCCCCTCCCCCAATTTTTACCAATAACGAATCATTTCATTCCACGAAATAACCAAATTATAAATCATTCAAATCAAAGTTAATTAAATTAAAAACCGATAGATTATCAAAAAAATAAAAATTCGAATCGAACCAAACAGGGTAGACTCTACTTTTAACAACAGTACTAAACACACAAAATTTAAAATAAACAATATAAAACCATTATATTTCCATGTACTTTTCAAAAGTAAAGAAAAACATGTCCTTAATTTAACTGATATTGAAATTGAGAGGACCTTAGTTGTTATTAGACCAAAATATTTAGGGCGGCAAGGGTCCGTCCCAAGCTCAATGTGGTTCTTATCTGATCCCAGTCATCCGCCAACAGAACCATCAGACTAGTAAGTCGAGGATCGAATTTGCGACGCCGAACAAGAAACCTCGCTTCTTCGTGAAGGTCGCCAGTAATGGTGACGACAAAGCCAAAAGCATCAACTCCGGTTCCAGGCAAATTGAGGTCACGCGTTTGGTTTTACTCCATTTTGCTCACTCTTCAATACGGCGCACAACCTCTCATCTCCAAGCGCTTTATCAGGTAACTGCGATTTCGCTTCAAAATTTTAACTTGTTTCATTCTGTTTAATTTCATGCCTTTTGATTTGGAGTGTAATTAATCACCTGCTGGATTTTATTTGATTTAATTTTTTAGTTATCGCTTAGAAACATTGATTTGGGTTGTGGAGGAAAGATAGTATTTGATGAAAAGGAACCGCTTTGTAATATTTTAGTTAATCATGATCTATACGGTAAGTTGAATTTTCATGATTTTTCCTAGTTTTTCTTTTCTTTTTCTTAAAACTGGAAACATCTAGAGAGCTTCTTCATTCTCGAATTTTAAGCATCAACTTGGTTTGCCTGTGCATTTCTACAGTCATAAGAACTGTCAAATTCAATTTAATGTGAACATCCAAGCGCCTGCTCAGTGCACACATGTATATTATTTGTTCATATTTCTTGTAGTACCTGTGTCAGTGACTTATTTGGATATGGGTATAGAGATAATATCCTCTATGAATCCTTCAAATACACGAAATTCTGGAAACAATTGAACATATTCGTGTTGAGCACATACCCGTCTGGTTTTCATACCTGAATCCGACTAGCATAGCTTGTGTATGTATCATATATGACACCTAACTTCTTTGTTTGTATTCCTGCTGTAATGTGTTTGAACATTTTTCTCTTTCAAGTTTTTAACTCAATCTCTTTCTTTCTTTTTTCTCCAGTCGGGAAGTAATTGTAACTTCATCAGTCTTGACATGCGAGGTAGCCAAGGTAATTTTACGACTAATATATGCTTTTGGTTCTTTTAGCATTTAAGTATTTGGGTTTGTGAGATCATTTACTTCTGAATATGTATACCAGGTTGTATGTGCCATTATTCTCATGGCGAAAGATGGTAGCTTAAAGAAACTGGCAAAGGAATGGACTTTGATGGGTTCACTTACTGCATCAGGTCTTCCTGCAGCAATTTATGCACTTCAAAACAGCTTGTTGCAGATATCTTACAGGAATCTCGATTCACTTACTTTCTCAATGCTGAACCAGACAAAAATAATTTTCACTGCCTTATTTACATTTATCATACTGAGGTATCTTTCCCGAAAGGCTCTTTATCTATGATTCATCTTCTTTAGTATTGATAAACTGGTTTGTTTTAAAGCTAGAAAGGAGGTTGATGTTTGTATATTTCACTCATTGAAGCTCACCAACTTGTTAGTTTCCTTTTGAGTTGCAAATGATTACTTCATCTAGTATTTTTCTAAATTTGATTGTTCTTATGACGTTTTTTTTAATTGCAAATCAGTATTATTTCAACTAAAGCATCATCCTATTATTTTTATTCTAATAATCATTTTCAGGATACATGTGAGCTTATTTTGCTTAATTTGTGGTGTTTCCATGCAGGCAGAGGCAGTCAATTCACCAAATCGGGGCCCTATTTTTGTTGATCATGGCAGCTGTTCTTCTAAGTATCGGTGAAGGTTCTAGGAAAGCTTCTAGCAGTGGTGACCCCGAGCAAATTCTATTGTACGGAATTGTCCCTGTTTTAGTTGGTTCTGTACTTTCCGGTCTGGCTTCTTCATTATGTCAATGGGCTTCTCAGGTAAGAAACAGCTTATTTTCTATTTTAAATTAATACACCATATAGGATTGCCTATCTTTTTTAACCCCATAAGGTTTTCTTTTTTAGGTCAAGAATCACTCATCATACTTCATGACTATAGAAATGTCTATTGTCGGAAGCTTGTGCTTATTGGCTAGTATCTCCAAGTCTCCAGATGGAGAAGCTATTAGACGCCATGGATTCTTTTTTGGTTGGACTCCACTAACTTTGGTAATTATCTTATTTTATTTGAAATTTTCTTTAGATAAAATTAGGGATGCTCTTGGGTTTATGGAAGCAGGAAAAGAATAGTGTAAGACTGGGTAGGGAACTTTACTAGGTAAGACTACATAATTTCTCTATAATGGATGAATATAAGCTTATTTCGGTGATACTTTTATGTTTTAACTTGCATGATACATGCAAGTTTAAACAAGACTATTTTCCTTGCCTTTTCAGATTCCGGTTGTAGCCAATGCTCTTGGCGGGATTCTTGTTGGCCTTATCACCAGTCTTGCAGGTGGTGTGACAAAGGTAAGCCTAACTACATCAAATTAATACAGTGAAAACTCAGGATGGGGTATCGAAGGGTACATTGATGATTAACTAGGTGCTTGTTGATATGGGGCTACCGAGTTGCATGCATCATCGAGTAAACAAAATTATGAGTTTCAAGTTGTTGACCTCGCTTAATTTTATGAATCCGTGTATTGAACTCAAAGAGGGACGAAGGGTAATGTAGGCAAAGTGCCTTGAAATCCTAGAACACGTGCTAGGAGTGAGGGGCACTGATGCAGAGATGAAACATAACCCCTTCTATGTATCTGAATTCTAAGAACACAGATTGCTTGAAGTTAGTTTCTAATACCACATACCATTTTTTCAAGAATACTTATGCTGGTAATTTCTTCCTCGAATGCGAGCAGGGGTTTGTCGTTGTTTCGGCACTTCTTGTAACGGCGATGCTGCAGTTCCTGTTTGAAGGAAAACCGCCATCCACGTATAGTCTCGTGGCTCTTCCACTTGTCATCAGTAGCATTTCAATATACCAGAAATATCCATACCGAGTCAAAAAGAAGGAAGCCTAATAACACCTGTAGAGGCAGGTAAGGGGATTTCTCAGAGTGACCCCAATTATTATATTGTTTTCCCCAAGAATGGGAGGGTTAACACGAATTTTAAGATGCATGCAAACGAAGAAGGCATATCATATATGGTTAAAATTGGGAACACAAAGAAGCAAGGCATCGATGCAAGTCTCAGACCTTTTGGAACAGTGCAAAATTGTAGGAATTGTGAATTGAGTAATCGTGTATGTGATTGTGAAGTAATTTAAAAGATAAAGAACTAAGCATTTCTTTGCACCCTTTCTTATTTTTTCTGTCCCCTGCTATTAAACTTTCGATGCATGTAATAATTTGTTTATTTCTCATGTAAGAAATAAAATAAAAAATTAGTATAACTGAACCCCAAACAAAAGGGGTAAATTGGACGAAAGGAAAATGTATGGGGTAATTGGAAAGGAGTAGCAATCCAAAGTTGCTTTGATGGTTTGCTCGTTTTGTTAACTTGCAGTTTGAAAATGCGGAGACAATGTATACGATAAATTCATGCCTCCAAGGAAATAAATGTGTATTTTATCAATGGATGAGTCTGTAATGATCTATGAGCATTGATTAGTCCTATTAAATATGAGTATTATTAATTTAATTTATAAAAGTATAAAATTTTAAAGTATTTAACGTATAATTATAAATTAGTTAAAAATTTAAAGGAAAATTATTTAAAATAAAATGTAAAATATATAAGTGTCTCTCTATTTATTGTCCCTTTTCATTTTAACCATTATTTTTGAATTTTTTCAATCAGGTCACTCAATTATTTAAATGCATTCAATTAAACTATTTGTAATTAATATTTAACAAGAAGTTAAAATATTTTGTATAATTACATATTGTCACTGTTAATTATATATTCTATCAATTTTGTCTTAATTTTAATAAAATAAAATAAACTTAACCCTCAAATCAAATGGTGTCACTGGTGTCAAATGTAATGACATTTTTCACAATCCGATTGGACGATTAACTTTATTTTAATTTATTTTCTTTCCTCTAGAGTGTCACCCTCTAATTGTTGAGAAAAATATATTAAATTAAAAATAAATTTAATTGTCTAATCAGATGATGACACATGACATTACACTTGGCACCAGTGACACATGATACTATTTGATTTGAGTTAAATTTATTTTAATTTATTAAAATTAAGACCAAATTGATAGAATATATAATTAACAGTGACCAAATGTGTAATTATACTAAATATTTTAACTTCTTGTTAAATATTAACGACAAGTGACTTAATTGAATGTAGTTAAATAATTGAGTAACTTGATTGATAAAATTTCAAAAATAATAGTCAAAATGAAAAGCGATAATAATTAAATAATTACTGATATAATTTATCTTTTTATTTTAAATAATTTACTTTTAAAATTTTAAATTAACTTATAATTATACGTTTAAACTTTTAAATTTTTATGAATTAAATGATGATCATGATTAATGTTATCATCTATGTTCATTGAGCGTAGTAAAATTTTCCTTTCACCAATTATTTAGTAGCGAAAGTCAAAAGCAAAATTAAATAATAAAACCAAATAGGTTTCCATGGGATATCGTCGATCTGAGATTCACACGCGTCGATCACCGCGGACTTTTCCAGCGTTTCCAACTTGCTTCGTCTTTGTCTTTTTCCAATGTTCAATAAAAAAGACAAAAAGCCTTTTTCTTACTCTCTCGTACGCTTATCTTATCAAAACTTGGACTGTTCCCGGAGAACCAAAAATGTCGAATCCCGGAGAACCTTTTCGGATATCGTCGGAATTTCTCGGCACCGGAGGACCCTCTCTCCGGCAACAAGGTTCGATCGCCGATGCCGATCTTCGTGTCCCACTCCAAAACCTCTCGACGGTCAAAATGAGGATGGATTCTCTACAAGATTTCCTCTCTAAATCGGTCAACACCAACACTTTGATCTCCAAACATCATATGGACTTCGTTTCCTCCGAAATCACTGCCGCCGTCCACCAGATCATAGTCAACGGTGCCGCTCTCCTCTCTGGCTCCCAAAGAGCCCATTTCCCGAATCCGATTCCGAACCCGACTCCGGAACCGAAACCCAAGTTCAACGACGACGACGAAGGAGATTCCGAGGTAATCGAGTTAGACGCCGTCGAATTGCTCTCGGAACATTTACATTTCTGCGAAATTTGCGGTAAAGGTTTCAAACGCGACGCGAATCTACGGATGCATATGAGGGCTCACGGAGATCAGTACAAAACTACGGAAGCGTTGGCCAAGAAATCGGAAGTGAAGAATCCGGGCCGGAATACCCGGTTTTCGTGCCCGTACGATGGGTGTAATAGGAACAAGAAGAATCCCAAGTTCAGGCCATTGAAATCGGTTATCTGTGTGAGGAATCATTTCAAGAGAAGCCACTGCCCGAAAATGTATAGCTGCAATAGGTTCCATAAGAAGAGTTTCTCGGTATTGAGCGTTTTGAAGGCTCATCTGAAACATTGTGGCATCGGGGAAGAGGTTAAGAAGTGGAAGTGTAGTTGCGGGAATGGATTTTCCAGGAAAGATAAGCTCTTCGGGCACATATCGTTGTTCGAAGGACATATGCCTGTAGTTGCAGAAGAACCGGTGGCTGAGGAGGATCAGAAGCGGAAAGGTGTGGCGGTGATGGTCGACGAAGACGATTTGACGGGGAAGGAAGATTGTCTGGAAGATGGATTAATTGATGATTTGCTTGATGGGTTTGGTTCATTTGAGAATTACAGTTTGCAAGATGTGTTGGGACCTTCTCATAATGCCTTCTTTTAACATTAAAATTGCCATTACATGGATGTTTTTTTAGATCTGCTACTTTTTCCTATAATCCTTGTTGTAACATATTATACTGTTAGCTTCTTGTGACAATAAACTGTTCTTTCAAATTTCTTTCGATTTAATGAACACGAAAACGATCAAGAACTCATCGAATAAAACATGCCTAAATGGAGTTGCAGCAAGCAATGCATCGGATATATATAAAAACAATGCGATGCCCTTTTTCGTTCCACTAAAATGAAACATTTTAGTTTAGCTAACCTACTAAAACAAGCTAGGATACTCTTGCGTTTTTTACAACAGAAATGTTTACCTCATCTTCCACCGGATAACTCGATCGCGTCCTGATTATACAATGAATCTTCTCCCCATTCGAATCTCCTTTGAAGTCTATCGTACTCTCGTCTACGAGTAACTTCGACATGTTGCCATTCTTCCCATCTCTCAGCCAGCCCCTCCCCTTCCAGCATCCTCACCACATCTGACATTGCTGGACGCTCCTCGGGTGAAGATTGGGTACAAAGTAATGCAACTTGGATCATTGCCTCGACCTCCTTGATGTTGTAATTTTTATTAAGGTTTCGATCTACGATAGCATCCAGCTTTTTCTCCCTTTCCAGCTTCTTGACCTTCATAGGAAAACATCAAGCAGTTTTGTCGAGGTGAGTGCTTTGGGCATTATACAAAACCGAACATGGTAATAGATTTCGAGTTATCTTACATGATCAAGCAGCAAAACATCATCTTCTTCTTCCAAACGTGAGAAATCGATTGCGCGTTGACCTGTTACAAGCTCTAGAAGCATAATACCGTAACCAAATACATCAGTCCTTTCTGATGACTTCCCGGTGGACAAGTACTCGGGTGCTATGTGACCCATTGTCCCACGAACTTGAGTCGTAACATTTGTCCGCCCCACGTCCACCAACTTTGCAAGGCCAAAGTCACCAACAACGGCTTCAAAGTCTTCATCCAATAATACATTAGCTGCCTTCACATCACGATGAATGATCTTCGGATTGCAATGTTCATGAAGGTATTCCAGTCCGCGTGCTGCACCCAAGGCTATTCTTTTTCTTGTAGGCCAATTTAAAACAGGTTCTCCAGGTTTAAGCTCTGCAGCAGTTTCATATAATAATCACACATTATACGAAGGTCGGTATAAATGAAGTGTCGAACAACTAGTTTCTTCAGAAATATCAAGATCAAGAGCTTAATTACATGTAACGAAATCATGTTAAATGAAATTCTTGAATAGCTAGTACCTCTAAGGCGATAGGCCACGCTTAAATTCTCCATAAATGGATAGACCAAGAGGCGTTCGGTTGGTGTAGTGCAAAAGCCAATCAGCCTTAAGAGATTCCTGTGCACAGCTACACTTATCATCTCGACTTCACGTTGAAAAGCCGCATCTCCTCCGGGACTCTCGAAATCAGTTAATCTCTTAACTGCAACTTTTGTGCTATCAGAAAGCATGCCTTTATAAACCTTCCCGAAACCACCTTGTCCAAGGATATTCTTTTCGTTGAAGCTGTCAGTAGCCAATTGTAATTCCCTCCATGCAAACCTTTTCAATTGACCGAAAGCAATTCTTCGGTCGACTTCACCTGCCGATGCAAATTATTCAGTTGGACCGAAAATTATTCTTCTATATATCTAAAAGCATTTTGATCAACCTGGCCAGTTCAATTGAGCATGTAAACGTTTGATCATATGACCTCTGATTTTCTTTTAATAATAAAATAACTTTAGAAAACTTCAAAAAAGACATTAGAAATCAACAGCCACCGGTTTTTATTCAGAAATAGGAAAGGTAGCAGAAACCTGGAACATCTACAAATACTTCGCTCTTGTAGCCTTTCCGTCGACCATTGCACAGGAAAAACAGCAAGCTACCAAAGAGAAGAAGAATTATAAACCCGCCAATGATTCCGACTACAATTCCCACCTTTGACTTCTGTGAAGAACCTGCAAGCAAAGAGAAATTTCTAAGATAGCTGGTCTAATTATGGCACACATTAATAGGGTACCTTTAAATCCATCGAACACTTTATAACAGTGTAATTCACTTGAAATAGTTAATCCAATTACCCGAATCGTTTCCGTTCGATACACAGCTCTGCGGGAAATTTCCACCACAATTTAACCTGTTTCCTTGAAAACTGAAATAAACAAAATCGTGTCGGCTTCAATTCACTGCAGATAAATATTTGTGAATTTGTGTGCAAGGTGAATGATCGTTTACTATATTTTTATTTCTTTGTATTAAAATAGGGAATGAAACAAACTAGTCAAAGACAAACATACTTGTAAATCGGAATGTGGAATAAATGATCTGGAACTTGACCACTAAGATCATTTGAATCGAGCAGTCTGTGAAAATATTCAGATATCAGTCGAGGTATCAGTTGATTAAGCGTTTTTTTCCCGACACATTCCGTGTTTAGTACTTACAGGTTGATCAAGTTTGGAAGATCTGAAATTGATGAAGGGATAGTACCAGTAAGATTATTCTTACTCAGTGTCCTAATTTCATGAAAGAACGAATGCCTTAAAATGAACATGTGATATGGAGAAATAAATAAAAGCATCAAATAAAATAATATAAAAGGAGTTACTTACAGGAATTGGAGATTTTTAAGATTACCGAGGGAAGAAGGTATCTCTCCGATTAAACGATTACTTTCCAAATCCAAACTGGTCAAGCTCGACAAGTTCCCTAACTCTTTTGGTATCTCACCGGTAATACCATTTCCTTTCAACGTACTGCATGATGAACACATGGAATACGGAAATGTCTTAACACAAATCATTCACTCCAATGTTATTATGAACTGTACATTTAAGTGCAGCATCAGGAATTAAGAGTTTTGAATGTGAAAATCAAGAAAATGACCTCAGAAAATGTTTACGAATAAAGAACATAAATAATAGAAATCGACTATGTGGTTGAATATTTATATGTTTGATACATACAGTGATGAAAGAGTCGTCAGAACTCCTATTTTAGGGGACAACGTGCCGGAAAAGTTCATGGATGACAATGTCCTGAAAGCACAGTTATGATATATAAGAATACTACATATTTAAATATGTAAACAAATAGTATTCCTTAAACAATTGAATTAAATACGCATACATTTGCAACTATGAATCATAGTCAAGGAGGGAAAACGACTCCAATGACTTACACGGAAATGACATTGTTACTAGAATCACACATAACATTAGACCAAGTGCAAGGATTAACTTGATCAGGATTCCAATCTCCCAACTGACCAGGCGAGGCACGAAGTGAAGCCTTCAATGAAAATAGAGCATCTCCTGAAACAGATGATACAAATATTCATAATCCAATTAAGCAAAACAAATAATCCCTCAGACCAAACCAGGCCTAAATAATTATTATATAAAATCAATATTGGGGGGGGGGGGGAATCATCGAGGAATATGATCCCACTATTCCACTCAAGCATGCAGAGAAAACCGTGTCTCTCTAAAGCGTTCATGCAAAAATAAACAATATTTTGGCAAATATCAGGTCTATATTTGATTCGATATCACCGAGTTTCTCAAAAAACCTCAAACTCTCAACTCGGTAACATTTCAGTAGAGGAAATATTGTATCATACAGTTTGAAACCAAATCTAGATGCCTAACTCAAATCCAACAGATAACCTAACGATTGACAGTATGGAGGTAAATTTCATTGAGCAATATGAAAACTTTCAAGCATCTTATTGAGTTCCTATTTGAGCTTACTGGCTGAGTAACATCTTCTGTTTACATCTAAACACTTTACCACAAATAAATAGGGAACTAAAAGTCCAAAGTAATTAGTTTTAAGAGAAAACTAATTAGACACCTATTATCAAATTTTCCATGTTAAAAATACAGAGAACAATTGCCTCCACAAGTGCATCGTATGCATGTTTGATGTGGGCGGAAATCAAACAAGGAATAACGACTCACCTTGTATATTAGCAGATACAAAAGAAAGCAAGCAAGTCAATATAAGAAAACCACGAAATAATTCCATCTTCAGCAAAGTCAGCCCCAATGATCAATGGCATGAAACATAAAATATCATGAGCATAAAAGAGGCTTCCATCCCTGCAAAAACATTCAAGAACAAAAATGTAAGGCAAAATGTAATTAGAATATCCGGTCAACTATGTTTCTCCGACCTTTGATTTTCCTAGCAACAGAACACCTCCTATATGAACAAGTTTGATTTAGGACGAGCACCCGAAAAGTGAAAACTAGAAACTTTCAACCACCACCTCTTGTACTCTTGACTTGCAAGCTTATTATTTTCCTTTCATTTCAGTCCTGTGAAGGGCATGTCACTAAAAAGAAAACTAACAGGAATTTAACCGGTGGAAAGCTATTCCGACAGCATCAGCCATTATCAGGCTTGCAAATCCGGTGGGGGTTGCCAAGGACAAGTAGACCTCTTTGCAGATTCACTCTTATGGCAAGTAAATCGTCTCATTTTCTTGAACGCTAAAATTATACTATTCAATTTTATTCAAAATACATGAAAGGTAAAGACCAGTATTAAGCTACGGTGCAGCACTAGATAATTTTTTTGTAAAAGAAATCTTCATATAAGTACTAGAATGTTGAAATTAAACTTAATGCCAATATTCCATTGAATTCAGTCAAAACATGAAGCTGCAATAAATACAAACTAGCAACAACTTTTCCACCTAATACAAACAATATTCCAACATAAATGAAGAACTAAAAAAGTTCCCCTTCCAGATTGTAAAGCAGTAAATGCAGGGTTTTAACATTCATTACTAGGGAAATAAATGAAGAACTAACCAAGGAATTCCAATTCAAACAACAATACGGAGAAGAACAGCTAAATGGTTTTCACATAAATGAGAGAAAGTTCAAGTTCAACCCAAAATCTACAAAGAGAAAAACACTACAAGTCTATGAACCTACAAGCTAAAGTTATCAAAACCCAAGGAGAAAACAATAAGAACTCAGACCCTAAACAAAACCCAAATCTTAGAATCTAAAAAAATTAAAAAATAAATTTTGGAGAAAGTTGCTTACCTTTGAGAAAGAAATCAAAATGGAGAAGAGAAAAAGA